GGGAGCCGCGGGGGGGCGCTGGCTCCGCCCAGGCCCAGTCAGCCCCGCCCACCAGCTGTCAGCCCCCAGCACGAGCGACAGGAGGAGGCTTTGGCCGGCGTCCAAAAAGCCCCAAAAAGAGCTTTCCGTCAGCCTTTCTAGCTACAGATCCCCTCACCCAGCGCAGTCTTACCTGCCCTGGAGCTGGTCTCCGTCGCAGATGTTCTTAGTCCGTTGAAATGCCCTTGTTGGCAGAGCGTTAGCTGGGGGAAGAGAAACAGACCGCAACACCGCCTTCCACACAGCAACCCAGAGCGCAGAGGAGGAGCAAGAAGGCCAAAGAAACCAGTCTGCTAAATCTGCCAAAGAGATGGTAGCAAAGACCGGCAAATAACGGGGAGCATCATCAACTCGGCAAAGGCGTGTTTAGACTAACCATTTCGTAGAAGAAGGGGTAGGTGTGCCTTCTATGGAAAAAAGTGCCAACTAAACCTAGAAGAAGTCAGGCGGTCGGGAAGAAGGTGAGCTCCAACTTCTCAGCCAAGGAGAAGAGAGACAGAAACCCAGGCGGCCGAGAGAAGGGGAGAAAACACCTGAAAGCTGAAAGATCAGCGGGCATCTCTTTTTGGTGCACCCGATTCAGCGCTGTTTCCTATCAAGAAATTATCTTTTTGGAACCTTTGCTGCGGTGACTTTGTCCTCTTTAAATTCTAGGATGTTTCTCACAAGGGGCAGCTCCAGGGTTGAAAAAGCAGGGACAGACACAGGGGATCACTGAGAGACAGGCTCTTCTTCAGGACAAAGTCATGAGCCTACGTGTCTGTAACTGCATGCAGCTGTGACCTGCCGTCCTCAGACCGCCTCGTCCCTGTGGCCTGGCAACCCCTGGGGCAGCATGAGACCCAATGCAACGTTGGGCCAGCGAGGATGATGGAGCAGTTGGAAGCATCCAAAAACCTCTTGGGAGTCAGAGTCTCCCCCACTCTCCTCACCCTCTTGTAATTAAGAGGTGAGAGATGATTTCGAGGAGGAGACCTCTCGCTGTGGTAAGTGACGCCATACCTGCAGGGCCAGCGCTTACCCACCGAGACCTTTGGGCCCTGGATCAGTAACCTTGGCAGCTCCCTACTGCTCTACTAGCTGACCTTCAACTGCATCCAAAGCACCCACTCCCCAGCCGCTCTGTACATCGCTCTACAGAGACAGTATCTGTTTGAACGGCCTTTGCAAATGAGCACCCGAGACGGACACATGGCCAGAGTGCTGAACATGGTAAACAGTGAAAAATGTAATGATCTTGGAAAAACCTGAACACCACACGGAAAAAATGGATTGTTTGTGTAAAAAGTGATTTTATTTTATATCTTCCCCAGAGTTTCTAGCGAAACTTTCCCATTATTAAAGGGAAAAAAAGTACAAATCAGGCAAGCTTATACATCAGTAGTGAAACATGCCCTTCACAGTGTGGCCATCACCTGTCTTGTGAAATTGACCTTGGCCCTCACGTGTCATCTTCGCAAGGACAGAGACAATTGTATTATTTAGAGAGTGCTGCAATAAAGAGGAACACGTTAAACAGACAAGATGGCCACAGATATAAAATAAATTAAAAACATATGTAGAAGCTGCTTTCCATATAAAAAATAACTCTTCTTTTTGTGGGAGTAATTTTATTTTTTTTAAACTTGACATCGTCTGTACAAAGATTAACCTTTCAAGAGGAATCATTCAGAAAAGCTGTTTTCACAAGGAGAAATGGGTTGCTAAACAAATCATCCATCTCCTGTGAACCGCTGAGCATGCCCTCAGCGATAAGGACATAAAGATTTTGGCCAGTCTTGCGGCGGGGCACAGGGACTGGAAATCCCAAGGCTGCTTGAAACCTCGGCAAAGCCACTCTGCTCCCTGCAAATTCCCAGAAAACAGGAAAAAAAAGAGGCCGCCTAGTGATCCCACTCAGGGGAACAGCATCAGTGGTTCCAGCAGGCAATTCTGCTGGTTCAAGGTGCCGCACTGCAGGGTAGGCACATCTTATTTTGCAGACTCACCGTGAGATTGCCTCTGCAGCCTCCAAGAATGGGATTTTCAAGAGTTTTCTGCAGTGGCCTCCTCATGGTCTGCTCCTCTCTGGGGACTTTGCTGCCAAACGAGCCGCTCTGAAGAGAGAGCTTGTGTAGCTTGAGCTATTCTCTCCTGCCCACCTTCTGAGCCAGCCATAAAAATAATATGTGGGCATCAGATACTCCGTAATTAGATAGGAAGCGGAGCCACTTATCAATTAATACTATTTCCAAAAACAGAATAGGTGGGAAAAGATCCCCGTGCTGAACTGAAATTAAAATCTTGATTAATAATGCGAGCTGGAAATTAATTTGAGGTCCCTGCTAATACAAAGGTATATACAGAAAGCATTGCCTGTGTGATTAATACATTACTGATGCTAGACATGGCTTTACATTGAAAGCTTCATTTACAGATACAAATGCAAAATAAGGCTTGAGCATAAAATGTCCCACTTCCATATGGTTAAGTGAAGAGAATGCTCTTAGCATAGATGCAGATCACATTTTGCTTGGAAGATCGTACCTATTCTATTCGATACGGTTCATGACAGAGTCTGGCTGTACCCCAGTGAAAACCACGTGTAACATATTCATGCTTGTTTTCAGGTGATGATTTTAAGGTGACTTTCAGGCTGTCTCATCACGGCACGAGGACCAGCAGCACATCACCTGTAGCCTTGATCTTGGCTCCAGTCCCAGAGAGTGACTTGGAGCACAGCTGCCGCAGACTGCTGTGCTGGGAAACGTTGATGTTTAATTAGTACCTCTGTTCTGGAGTGCAAATTTGGGGAGGTTGGCTGCCAACACCCTATCCTGATGTGGTACCTCTGCTGCCATCCAAGGAGTGGGCCAGGGTGCATCTGGCCTCTGCATTTCTCTCTGAAAAAGTTGGTTCCTGCCACTGCTTGTGCCAAACACCGCTCACTCCTGGGAGCATTTACGCCACAGCAGAACGGACTTTTTGCAGCTGTGCCTGAGATTCATTAGATGTTTCCTCTCCTGTTTGTAGTTTCTAAAATGATTTTTTTGGTGGATAAAGTCATTGAAAGAACGTTTTGTGTTTTTATTGTGCAAAATCTGCTATTAAGAAATCTTAAATTGATAGCAAAAGTAAAACAAATTTGATTTTCAGAGTAAAAGTGAACTCTGATAAGATGAAAAGACAATCTATTATCTGATTAATGTAACAATCAAAACTCACCAAGCAGAGGCAGTTTTGAACAAATGATTGTAGTGACGGCCTACAGATAAGAATTATGCACCAAATAATTTCACATCAAGAATCAACTACCATGATTCACTCATAGATTAATAATCTGCAACTATGTTCTAGAATATGTGTTGTGAACAAGTCACTCAGCCGCTTCACTGAGTGTGATCCTTTCACACCCTTGGCCTGCTGAGTTTACACAGTGGCATGAAAGAAAAGTCTTTGCTTTTGAGATACCACAATTACGTATGCAGCAGTACTGTGTTTTGTGTTCTTCCGACCGAGAGCATGGACATCTACAAAGCTGAGTTACAAAAAATGTGCCAATGAAAAGGAATACATACATGCAGTTGGTGCCATGTGATACCAAGGAGATATATGTCTAAATTGGATTATCTAAGGCTCTTAGGATGTCAGATTTGTTTTTCTTCCTTGCTGCACTATTCGACATAACCTAAGGGAGAAAGCCTAGCTTTTAAGTGAATAATCGTATATTTCTAAGCTTTCTCCCCATCAGTCACCACAAGAACGGAGACAAAAATTAACAGCTACTGCTGCTTCCAAAATCTTGTACAAAAATAGATCAGTATGTCCTTCTGGCAGTCTCAAAAAACTTGAAGAGTCTGCTGCAAACTCCTCTTTCATCTCTCGATTTCAACAGAAACAGTCCGTCCCTGCTGCCAAGACCCATGTCTTGGTCAAATTCAGAGACAAATGAAGTTCACATTCTCTTTCCTTGGAACTGCTATTCAGAATTCATTCCATTTCCATCCTCTTTGTTTGGAATTGTTTACTTTTTTAAAATTTTTTGTCCAAAAGAAATGCATTGGCAGTGCAAACAAAAAGTAGGTATGACGAAACACCCTCCCCAGCTTCCCCCAAATAGCAAGTGATCATGTCAGCATTTCAAAAGTGTCTCCCAAGATGTTATCTGCATGCACAGGATTCCACTGTCATGTTGGGGTACACCTTAAGAACGACGTTTTTATTTTCGTCGAAGAATAAGATGCTAAGAGAAGACATTTTGTCAGGAACGCAGCACGGTTCAGGAATGCCCGGGACGACACCAACAGCTCTCACTATGCTCTGGATGGTAGCGTGGTTGGATGGCTTCAAGGCCTGCAAGAGAAAGATAGAGCAGAACATGTAACTGCACCCATGTTAGAATTGACCCACATTCCCTGGAACAAAATGGGTCTTTTAAGAAGGGCCCTGTGGAGACCCCAGAGCTGACCAGCTGTAAGATGTCTTCTACTTGACCATTTCCGTTTGTCACCATAGCTGCCCTGAGCCACAAAAATGGATTAAAAGTGTACAGATGAGAGAACAGAAGTACTTTATGCCATGATGCCAATTGTTTTAGTTTGCTCTCATGCGAGGTTAGGTTGTTTTGCTCATTCTTCCATGCCAAACCACTTCTCATCTGTAGTACACATCATCAATGGCATTGCTGAGTAACTGAGCCCCCAAATCCCATGTCAGTTTTACCTCGTATTAAGGTGACATTTTTTCCCAAAGGACAAAGTTTCCTGGATTTATACTCGTGTGAACAGGAACAAGCTTTGGTTTGATATGAACAAAAACTGAATCTTATAGTGAGATAACTATATTTGTTCACAAAACCAGAATACATTAACACACTCATAAAAATAAGCATATTCATAGAAATGAAAAATTCTAAGTTTTATCTCTGAACCCCCAAACCCTGCCGAATCCAGGAATCTGTATGAAAGGTAGGGGAGCATGAAAAATGCACAAGATGCAGTTTTTAGCCAAAGACTTTTGGTTTTGTAAGAGTGAAACTATCAATGCTTTTTAGAGCTTTTCTTACAGGTAGCACGTGGGAATCACACAGTTCAATATGCTCAGTCAGATGCCACTAAGAAATATAGAGAACAAGACCATTTGGGCCAAAAGTGGAATTGGCAGTTTTGCTGTGATGAAAGATTATTTGCTTTTGGAAAAAATCAGTCTTAATTGTTAGGTATCTGCCTACCTGAGGTGCAAGTCTTAATGACCTTGCACGCAAAAAGCACAGGAATAACTCAGATTCTGGCTCATTGTATCATTTAAGTAGGATGTTAGTACATTTAGCAGTAACTGCTTCCAACTCTGTTGGCAGTACACACGGATGTCTAACCTGTCCCTACTTACGGCAACATAGCTCACGACTAATGCAGTATTTTCCTTCTTTTTCATGGAGACAGCTGTGTCTTGAATTCCAACAGAAATGGATCAGAATGGACTTTTACTATATCATGTTGAAATGAGTCTCAAGAGAGAACTGGAACCATATGGCACAGAATTGAAAAGGATTCACTGGGGAGCATTCAGCTATTCTTTATGTATGTTAGACATAATTTGAATATTTCTTTACTTACCATGAGAAACCTGTTTCTACTGCAGGAAGGCTGAACAACAAACAGTGCCAATCACTGCACATCTCTTGCTTCTGTTTAGCCAAGAGAGACTTGGAATTTTCTCAAGTGTATTCAGGATCCAAGCCCTTTTTAAATGCAGACATTACACAAAGGCTGATCTTTTTCCCCTGTTGCTGTTTAAGTTTACTATCATAGCTTAACCGATAAATGAGATGCAGGGGTGTGGCAATATTCTGTTTAAAATACAAACACAGAGCTTGTTGCACCATCCTCTTAATGGCTGTAGGTTTCCTAGCATCGTTACAAAGACATTACTCTCCATGAAGGTAGCTGATCTCAAGAAAGACATTTCTGTTTGTTTTTAATTCAAGAGTACCAATGCTATGCAGCAGTAGTTGACAGGCATTTCAAAAACATCTTAGATTAGTATAGAATTTGGATTTCTTTATCATTCCTGCCTGCAAAAGGAAGTGAAAGGTCTGGTAGCATCCCTGCTCATTTCCATACTCCACTGCAGTGGAGCATTCTCCACAAAATAAACTGGGAGTCAACAGATCTCCTGAGCCTGCTGATCAGGCATCAAGAGGCAAAACATCTATTGAGACCCTATTTCCAGTTGCCAGTAGTACTGGAATCAAGAACAGGTCGCCGAATATTGCCGTGTTAAGATTTCATCAGAAACCCTTGCCTTCAGATCTGGAATCTGTATTACTAAAATGCTAAATTGTACAGAACTGATTTCAAATATTGCCTTGGCTATCAGTGGGAATATCCCGGATATATTCTGTCGTTGTATGATAGAAACAGTATCTCTATTTGATACAGGTAATGTAGATTACAGAACATCCTCTGTACTGACTTGAATACCCTGTCCCTGGCCCTTATGGTGCATTCCTGGGGATAACTTTCACTTAATTCTGCTTCTGCCAGCAGCAGACAGGAATTTAACTATACTGGAGTAAAACCGAAAGGCGAGTGCTTCTGAAAGAGCCAAACAAGGGAACACTGTATATCCATAGGCACAGATTAGTTTATTATTGCCTGATGATCACAGTATCATTTTGCAAACGCAGTCTTATTAGCACCAGACATTACGCATGGCTCAAGAACACATGGCTCTACGAGATGCTTGCTTCCTTTATATATATAATTTAGCTTTGCATTCTCCTTGGAAAACAAGGTCTTTTTGATTAAAAAAGCACACAAAAGGAACAATCCGAACTCCAACACAGGCAGAAATCTACCAATTGTTTTCAGGGAACCAGAGTCACGATGGGTCACGAGCAGTGCTCTCTTAATGAACTAGCACTCTCTGCAGTACATGGCAGCAAATATTTAGATTCACAGTGTCTAAATAACTATAATGCTCTGCTCCTATAATTCTTCAGCCAACTAAGTTTAGAGAATTTCATATAGAAAGGCCGGATTAGGCCTTTTAGTAGCAGAGGAAAACTGGGGTCCTGGTTTTGGTCTCGCAGGCCTGTGCTACAGCCTTAGCTCATGGCAATCAGACCTGCTTCACGTCAGCAAAGAAATTTAAACTCTGTGCTTTATTTGCCTACCCATCCCTCCGGTTTATTTCTCACCTTTTTTCTACTATAAGCTTTTTCCAGAGCAGGAATCACTTCTGATTGTGTGTAGGTGCCTGTCCCAGGCAGAGCAGAGGTGTGAAGAGGAGGAGAACTTCTTTGGGACAGATAGACTGAATTAACTGTTATAATAGTAGCCAATACTGCAAGCTACTTATTTGAGAAGATGGAGCTGAACTACAATATCTCAGAGGCCAATGCTACTATCTGCAGGAAAGCAGAACCAGAATTTGGCATTAAAAAAATAACTGGCTCCACATGTTAGAAAATCTTTTGACGCACAGTCTAATACTTCAGGGGAATTACCCAAAGACAGACAACTGGAACTCCTGTTTCACCCAAGCAATACCTGTAACGACCCTTCAGCTGTGTGCACTGTTTGTACCTCCCTCTCATGCTTTAGAGTGCCAAACTTAAGTTTAAACTTAAATTAAATTTCATTTTGCCTCTTCAAATCCACTGGTAATAAACTCATCTTGGGATGTTTTACTTGCAGGAGCATTTGTACGGCTTATTGTGTTTCTTTCTAGCAGTTTGAAGATACTCTGGGAATTAAGACCTGAGCTTATGGAGCGTGTTGCTGATTTTCCAGTTGCAGGTGCTATCAAAGGCTCTGTGTAAGGAATAGGAACCTTTTTATTACAGCGCTTCTTTATCATTACTCTACTTTTGGTTTCTGAGCGTTTCTTTATCTCCATGAAGACACACTGTGCTTTTTCTGCTGGAAAACCTGTGTTCTCAAAGTCTCATCTTGACTCTTTAAGACATACGTGCTTTCTGTCTTACATTTGTTATTTCCTATTGGCTCTCATCAGAATTAGAATGCAGTTGGAGCAAGGAGAGACCAGTAACAAGGTCTACTACATCCCAAACTGGTTTTGAGAAAGCCTTGAGTGTGTACATTGTTGAGTAATCTGAGGTTTGATCCAGGCTCTCCTAAAGGCAAAGGGGAGGTTCTTCCCAGTATCTGTGTCAGGTATTGGCTAACCCTGAAATAGATGTTATATATCGACTACTGAGAGAGCTTTTCTGCCTCAGAAGGTAGAAACCTATTTTGCATGTCTGCCAAAAGTAAAATAATAAAAAAAAAAAAAACAAACTAGTGACTGGGTTGAAATTGTTATTCTCTACCAAGTGCTGGATCCTGGGAACTCATCAGCACCTCAACTATCACTTACTTCTTTGAGAACTGAAAGAGACAGACCCAATAACGTTAGGAAACAGGAACCTTAACACTTTTGGACTTAGGACGAGACACCTTCAAGCCTTTCTAAGAAGCTGCTACACATTTAATTTTTTTCTATTATAAGAAATACAGAGGAACTTGCCTGAAACTGTCCTCCAGTAGAATCACTGGTTGTCTGATGCATACCTGACTCTTTGATTTGTTTCTTTTGTAATGCTGATGTTAGCCCATAGCAGATGTCTCATTTTAAGTGAAAAATATTTTAAAGGCCTGGATCGGTTAAGCTGGAGATGCTTTTTTTTGGTATTTCTTGAACTGAAGAACTTTAACTCTTCTGGTGTAAGTATCACGTACCATTGTCTCCTAAACAAAAAATCAGAGCAATGCTCTTCTATGGTTGGGATGAAGTTTTTATAACTAAAGCTGCAACTGGAAATGCTAACCCAGTCTTAAGCAGAAGGATACAGTGTGAATTTTTATAATTTATGTATCCTTGAAGTTAGAATGGAAGCAGTCTAGGTCCGGTGCTCTAAAAATTTCTAACCTGCACGCTGAGTTACTGGTTTGACAGAGCACAGTTCCCATCAACAATAAAGTAAAAGGACCAGTGCAACGTATTCAAAGGTAATGACTCTATCTCTTCCTGTTCCCTTTCATTTCTCTCTTTGGTCTGAAACCTGAAAGCCTGCCATTGCAGTTGGAGGCAGTAAGGTAAGTCATCTTCTCCTTCGCAGAGAGACTTCTGTCTCCTCAGCTTTCTGTCTCTGGGTTCCACCCCCTCTGGAACATCTCTCCACCTGCCGTTTTCAAAGGGTGACTCCCTCGGATCCTTAAGCCACTGAAGTGCCACATCAATTTTGGAACTAACTGCTAAGGCTTTACCATGGCAGGAATAAAGACTCTTAAACATGAGGTAAAAGTGACACCAAAACCCCTACCTTTACTGACATCTCCTGTAGGCATTATTTGTGCGTACCCCTTATTTTAGGCCAGCCTAAATACCTCATCTTACTTTCAGGTTCCAGTAGACTCCGGGAGGGTCCATGCTGCTAATAATGAGATTGGGCATTTGATTTTAAGGAGCTGAGTTCATCCACCTAAGTCACAGGGCTAGGATGACGTCACTACTCACATGCAAAAATCTCATTAAAAACAGAGGATATTTCAAAAGTCAGTTGGCCAGGATCCACTGCTTTTGGATCTACTTGGCCTGTCACAGAAGTGATTAATTTGACTTTTTCACTTACACTTAGAGCATCTCAGCTGCTCCTACAGCTCCACAAAGTCTCTCTGTCGTCATGACAGTTGTGCCTCACAAGGCACACATTAATCCTAGAACATGCTACGCTGACTGACCCCAGCATGGGCCCGGCAGCAGAGACTCCTTCGAGGCATAACAACTACCGTCTAATAAGCAGTTTTCTGGATCTGTCTTGAGTTATGTTTATTAAACAGGTTAATAACAAGTTCACACATCATAAGCACTATTCAGGAAATGTTTTATGGCAATCTGGGTTCTGGACAAAACAAACCTAATATCATGCAATATTTTTTTAATTACCTTTACAAGCCTGTGTTTTTACTAGCTGTTCTAACCACTGCTCATTGCAGCATGAGACAAAGATATCACTTATTTACCAGACCTGAACACGTAACAGGTGACCAGCTGCTTTTCACTGGCACAGGAAAGAAAATGCATAGTTTAGGGTAACAGTGCAAAAGCATCAATAAAGACCGTACCTTTGGAATTGGGAACTGGCACTCCCCTGAGCAATAATAGGCATCGAAGGATTTGGGGGAAATAATCCACTCGCTCCAGCCAATATCTGCAAAATCCACCTTGAGATAGCGGCGGGCACAATGCCTCGGCTCATTCCACTGCTTCCTCCTCGCCTTCTTCAGTGTCTGCTCATCAAACTGGAGAGTCTGGCTCTTCTGGTGATGATTCTTCCTCTGCTTCTTCTTACTCTTTGCCCTCTCTGCTAACCGTGGCTGGAAGGTTTTGTAGGGTTTTCTGTCTTCCCATCTCTCATCCTCGCTGTACTGGTACTCGGCTCCTGGAAGCTCATTATTCTGCAATGGCAACAGGACATTTGTGGAGCGTTTTCGCCGCCGCTTCCCAAGGCCGCTCCTCATGTGGTTCTCTGGCCTGGGAAAGACCCTTGCCAGAGGTTGACGGTGCCCTCGCAAACTAGAGACAACGCTCTCTGGCTCTGAAATAGCAGAATCGTTGGCATAAATGAGAATGTAGGGTTCATAGCGAGAAGGTGCCCTTTTCCAAGGATGACGGCTGGTCAGATCCATTTTGACACTGATCAGGAGTTCATTGTTTTGTTTTGCTTCATGCAGGAGCTGAGTGATATCCTTCCACTGCCAGGAAAGGACATCCTGGTAAGCAGTGGAGACATTTATTAGGAAATGTCCCAGGTTCCGAGACTGGTTCCCAACAGAAGGAAAGGTCCAAACTGAAAGATGTATCTGAATTTCAGGTTTCCTGTGCCCGTGACGAGAACAGCCTCTGGATCGGGAACAGTTCCACTTTGCATGCAGCAGATCACCAATATAATAATACACTGAAGCTGACAAGATGTTTTCAGACTCAGTGAGTGATGTCAAGTTAAAAACGTACATCTCCTGACTTTTGGGGCTCCCTAGAAGAAAAAATACTTAGATAAGAATATGGGCATTTCAAAATGTTATAGAGAAAGGAGAGAGCACATTGCTTTCTAGGTTATGGATTAAGTTCACAGGAAATTTTCATGCTGTGCTGTGGGAACAGGCTTAGACCGCTATTCAGAAAAATAACCAAGCTGGTAACCTGGTGACTGTAAATCACACAATTTCAATCTGGTTTCCTTGTAATACCTATCTCCATCCAGAAATATTCACAAGTTTTCTAGTGCTCCTCTGACTTCAGGAAACAAACTAGGTCACAGGACACAGCTCGAGAACAGATGCACTTAAGACTTCACGCATCATCCAGAAATTTGAGGTACGTAATAGTAAGGTCTTGCCCTTTTGTTTTCCTCGTTCTGTAACATTTCCAACCCTCTCCCCTCTCAAAATGCACTTAGGTGACTCTGGCTGCCCTGTCCTGTCTAAAGAATTGATTGTTTTTCTTTGTCCAAGACAATTGGGACATCAACGGCACTGAACCATGCCTTAAGCCCAGATGTAGCTGAAACTGGAGAAAGGCTCCCAGTGGATTCATTAGGCACTGGATCATCTGTAAACTGCCATTACCCTGTGGAGCCACAGCCTCAGTTGGAAGGAAAATACTTGCTTCTCTACTAGTAGAGGCCCAAGGTGGCAGTGAGGAAGATGAAAAGCCCGGATTCAAATGGGGCATGATTCTCAGTGTTGCCACAGGCTTTCAAGTGTCCTGCCAGGTAAGTCACTTCAGCTCCGACTGCAAAGCTGTCCAATGCAAATAAAGGCCTGCTGGTTCCTTTAAACCTTCCACTCTGCTCTGCTCTGCTCCGTGCCTCACCTACATGACAGGGACATCAGGGCCTGGGTGGCATTTACTTTTAGCTTCCAAAGATGTCAGAGACTATTAAAGAGGGACCCAAAAAACATGTAACATTTGGTACAGCTACCTTCATATATCAGGATGAAAAACAGGTAAGCAAACATAGAAAGTACTACTACATAGAAAGCTCTCCTCTAAAGATGTGGGAAGAAGAAACACCACGACAGAATCACTGTTTAATCATTTTTAAGGCTTGGATGTCAGCTCTGTAGAAAAAGACAATTCTCCATTTATAATGAGCTAAAGACACACAAACTGGTCTGACAGCCTTTTGGCTAAGTCCGACACTAATCACAACTGAAGTTTCCCTCTAGAATAATCAGGCCCAGGACTGCTTTAATTACACTGGATAAATCTAGTCATTCCACCTAGGACATTTCATCAATTTTCATGCCAGTCAGAGTCAGAAAGTACTTGCTAATATAGCTGAAGGTAGGTGGACAGTACCAGAGCAACCCCAATAACCGAAAGAAAGCCAAGCCAAAATATCTTGGTTTTGCAGGGGGTGGTGGTGGCAAAATGCACCCACTTGCCTCTGTGCAAAGGGAAACAAGCCAAGGACAATCCTTCCTTACAGTCGGGATCTTACTGTATCCATCAGAAGAGATGTGGGGAAAAGTGGAGTTTCCACAGCTGTGAAATTAGAGAAGTCAACCCAGCCACAGGTACCTTGCACAAACCTGAAGATGCTCTCCTAACACAGGCTGGTCTGCAAAAACAGATGGCTGGCTACTTCAATCCCCTGCAGGGTGAAACAGAAAGGCTTGGGCGTAAGGTTTAATTTTTGCTTTAAAATTTCCTGCTTGCACTGCAGTTAGGTGTGTCCTTCAAAGTGAGAGAAATATAGGTCCAAATGTTAAGGTGTTATTGAGAGCTATAAAACCAGGCTGTATAGAAAAGTCAAATACAGTTAAGCAAAGGTATGGTCTGCAGCCCCCCGAAGGGTGGAAACAACCCAACACATTAGGAAAACAGGGGAACACAGAGTAAAATGCTTCTTTGACATCATGGCACGTCAAAACCCTCCCCTGAAGCTGAAGAGAAGCTATCGTTTACATAATTTTGCAACAGTTTTGCCTTTTTTAAATTTTATTTTATTCCAAGCACTGACAAACATAGAGATGCCCGTGGACCAGGGAAGAACAGCCTCCCCACTTCCACCCTCAAAACACTGTAGCAAGTCCCCTGCCCAAGCAAGTGAAAACATCGTTTTCAGTACTGATCTTTCAGAGATTTTGACAGCTTTATATTCTGAGTGATATTCTGTGCTTCCAGCCTGTGACATCCCAACTGCTAACGCCATTCAGGTAAGTCCAGCAAAAGACCGTATTCTCCCTCTGCCTCCCCATCCCCACCCCAACTGTCTAAGTGGTTGCCTCTTCTAAACATTTTTTTCTCATCAATATTCTAACATACATTAAAAAAGCAGGAATTGGCCTCACTAGAAAGACAGGACTTTTCTCCCCAAGGTATCACATGCATTGCTTCATGAAATTAGGGGAAAAAAGCCAACATACACTTTTCTCAGTGAAACAGGAAAAAAAGACCAAATCATTTATGGAAGACACCCTTGTTCACACACTCACCCCAACCCGATGGTGGATCACATCGGTAAGTTCCCAATAGCTGAAAATTAATGTACCAAACCCATCCAATTTCTAGCTATTACTTATGCTTGAGCAACTAGATTTTCTTTGAATTTGATCCTGTTTTTAACTCTTCAAGCCAAAATTGGCTGTTTATTACATTCGCATTAAGCACACATGAGGACCTGACCTCTGCCTGGTTTGTAATCACTAATATAGAACAAGGTTAATATGTAATTTGGCAGAGCGCTAAGTACATCAGTCTTAGCAACCAGAATTTATAATGTCTCATGAGTGCCTTTTAAAGAAGTTATTATTTGAATCACTGTTGTATGCTGAATGACAAGTTTTGATTTTAATTTTTAATAAGAATTCCACTTAACAAATACCGCCTGTTCTAAATTGGCATATTGGAGCGGAATACAAAACAAGCTGCTTTTGTTTATAAAGAAACCCTAGGTGGCGTGAAACAGACACAGGAGGAATATATAGTTTTGATTAAAAGCAAAACTCAAGAAGCCACACTAAGTATTCAACTCAACACCCAAGACCAGGTCCCTGCAGTAGGTGGTGCTATTTTCTTACCGAATGTCCGAGCTCAAACGGCTCTGAAGAGTTTTCCAATCATTCAGTCTGCAAAAACGTCCTGAAACCAGTTACTAGTGGCCAGCACAGATGTTTATGGATTTCCAGGCTTCCAGCTCAGAAAACCCCACTGTGCAATGCGGGTTTGTCACAGCTTAGGAACGCTGTGTCAAATACATCCGTCGTGTGACAGCGATACCTGACTTTCAGGTGTGAGCAACGCACCAAAATAAGCATTCCCCAGGCTAGTCGTTACCCTCAAAAATGACAGACACGTCAAAGAAGATTTAGCTTTAAAGTGTCTACAAATGCACCTTTTCCTCAGGAAAATTTCATTTCCCTTACATGAAACTTTGTCCTTAAACCCAAAGGACAGAAATTGCTGAAAAATCTGTCCCCACAATAATGGAGTTCAAATTATTAGCCAAGGTCAGCAGCATAGTTTAAACTTTTCACCAATGTCAGAAGGTACAAGTAGCGTCTAACCAAATTTTACTGTGATGTGGGAAGCCTTCCATGAGCCACATCCAGCTTGTTCTACTGACACCAGCAAAGTTTTACTGACTGATGTGAGTTGAGGCTTTAGTCTTCACCATGACCTACGCTGATAACTCCTCTCATATGAACAGTTTCATGGACTGACTTCCCCCTCACTAATCCCAAAGAACCCCAAACAAAAACTCAAGCCAAACCTAAATAGGGCTTTAATTCTAATACCTTGTTATGTTCAGTAAATGGTATTTCCCAGGATGCTGCCATCAACAGCTCCATGTTACATGGAGGGGAGGAGGGGGAAAAATCGCAGGGTGAAATCCATCAATGGTTGCTCAGCAGCTAGTGGAAAGGGGCAGACCCAAGCCAGCTAAGGCCTCTGGCCGGTTTGCCCTCTAAGACCTCTAGGGTCTCAAAGGCAACAAGATTGCCAGTGAGAGGACAAGGGGCAATGGGCACAAGTTGGAACATAAAGGGTTCCACTTGAATATGAGGAAGAACTTGTTCATGGTGAGGGTGACAGAGCCCTGGAACAGGCTGCCCAGGGAGGGTGTGGAGTCCCCTTCTCTGGAGATTTTCAAGACCCGCCTGGATGCTCCTGAGTAACATGCTCTGACACGCTCTGGGTGGTCCTGCTTTGGCAGGGAAGTTGGACTAGATGATCTCTATGGTCCCTTCCAACCCTAAAAATTCAGTGAAATTCAGTGAAAGATCTTGAAACCAAGCCCTATATTGGTCTACTAGGGTAAAGTCAGCTTTGCAGGTGAAAGAAAGTAAAACACTGGCCCAGAAATGTATACTCTAGAAGATCATGGCATCATAATAACTTTTTCTTACCTTTTTGATGTCAAACAGAAACAGAACAGCAGCTTTGCAGCAGTTTTCTCTGTGCTAGTTGCCTAAACAAGAATGGTTTGTGGCAGACACAGACAAGGATCTGATGTCAAAACAGAGGGATGCTGGGCAGAAGGCGCCCCTCTGTCTGGGCTATCTCTCGGGATACAGCAGTGAGAGGAAGATCTTATGAGCCCCGGGTGTCCCTGCACAGCTGGCTGTGGCTGCTCCACCATCTACTGCCTGGCAAGACCCTGCTGTCTCCGAGCCGCTCTACTTAGCAAACTTCACACCCGTTCACAGCAGCACACAATACAATTCAGTGGAAACTCGGTATTATTTCAGTAGCGGTAACTCCCCTGGCTCACTTGAGACACTTCCCAACCCTGTGAGCAGCAGATTTCTGTCTGAGTGCCACTACTTGAGCTAAGTCTCTTAGTTCGTTCTTAAAGTGAGTTCTGCGACCTCACCTTTGCTCTTTTGTAGTACAAAATAGGAAGCACAGAAGCCTTCTCAGCAACAAAGCACGTAAGGAGGAGAAGATTTAAGAAGAAACAAGCAAAGGAAAAATATGTACAACAGAGCTATATGCAAGGAATACACTGCTACCTTCTGGATACTC